AGAGCTCCAGCGACCTCACCCGCCACGTCTACTTCCACTGCTACCACACCAAGCTGAAGCAGTGGGGGCTGCATGCCCTGCAGAGCCAGGAGGATGTGAGTCGCTGCCAGCTGGACTTGCAGAGCAGGAATATCATCCCTGAGATCCAGGAGAACTTCCTGTGCCTGTGGGAGTACTGTGAGGTGAGAACAGAGCATCCAGCTTAGCTGTGAGGTTGCAGCCAAGTTGAGGAGAAGCTGGTGCTGCCACCTGCACGCCTCCCTGCTGGCTGTTTGTGCCTGTGTGGGAGATAAAACAGGGCAGCTGGTGCTGATCTCAGCCTGTTGTGTCTGTCCTTGCTCCATCAGAGATCCTTTGACAATCCTGAGTGGTTCTATCGGCACGTGGAGGATCACAGCTTCTGCTCTGAGTACAAGGCTGCAGGGAAGGAGAACCACGTGGTGCTCTGTGGCTGGAAAGGTTTGTGGGTGCATGCAGGGCCCCTCCAGAGAGCTTTGGGCTGGATTGCAAAGGTGGCACAGGAGAACTCTGCCCCTTGAGCCTCAGAATAGATGTGCATGTTTCTGACAGTGAAGTGTTCCTGAAGGATTTCCTTCAGGGGAACCTGCTGACTGCTTAGTGCTGAACTTACCATCACCAGCTCACCCTGCTGTGCCCCTGCTCTGTGAGCTGTTTGGAGCAGGGAGTTGCCCCTTGCTAGCCAAAACAGAAGCCTAGTCGTCAGTGAGGCTGTGTGTGGTGGCCCAGGGGTGGTGGATCTCACTGTCCTTGTGCTGTTTGTGCCCAGACTGTGACTGCAGCTTCAAGGGTCGCTGCAAGCTGCGGGAGCCCCTGCGCAGCCACACGCAGGAGAAGGTGGTGGCCTGTCCCACCTGTGGGGGGATGTTTGCCAACAACACCAAGTTCTTCGACCACATTCGCCGTCAGACCGCGCTGGAGCGTAAGGCCCTGCCGAGGGAGGGGTGGGGGGAGCCCTGAGGGTGGGGGTTTGGGCTCCTGGAGCTGCCTGTTCCCTCTGAGCAGAGGGCATGGAGAGCTTGGGACAACTTCCAAGCACTGGGGACTCCCACTGAGTCACAGAATCATTGAAGTTGGAAAAGACCTCCAGGATTGAGTCCAACTTGTGACCCATCACCACATTGTCAACTGGAGCAGAGCACTAAGTCATTCATGCCTTGAACACCTCCAGGGATGGTGACTCCACCACCTCCCTGAGCAGCCCCAATGCCTGACAGCCCTTTCCATGAGGAAATTCCTCCTGATGTCCAACCTGAACCTCCCCTGGTGCAGCTTGAGGCTGTGTCCTCTGAGAAGTGTCTTCTTGTGGAAGCTGCCAGGGCTCACACTGCTGCAGCTGGTGCTCCTGTAGGCTCCCAGGGCTGAAGGTGTCAGCTGGGACTTGCTGGTTGAGTCTCTTGTGCTGTGCTGGCAATGTGTGTGGTGGTTTCTGCCCTGGGAGGCTGCAGAGGGAAGGGTGGTTGGTCTTTGCAAGGGTTGGTTTTGGGTTTGCAGTCAGTGTGTGCTGTGAAACCCCAGAGAAGAGTTTCCAGCTCCGCTGTAACTACCTCTTTGTGCTGTTCTCCCTGCTCTGCTCTCTGTTCTCCCTGCTCTGCTCTCTGTTCTCACCACCCTCCCCTTCCCCTCTGTCCCCACTGCTGCAGAGCAGAGGTTCCAGTGTTCCCACTGCTCCAAGAGGTTTGCCACGGAGCGGCTGCTGCGGGACCACATGAGGAACCACGGTGAGTAACCCAGCTGAGCCTCTGAAGTGTGTGTGTGTGCTCTCCCCTGCTTTGGGGCTCACATTTCCCCCCTTGTCTGCCCCAGTGAACCACTACAAGTGCCCCCTGTGTGACATGACCTGCCCACTGCCCTCCTCCCTGCGCAACCACATTCGCTTCCGGCACAGCGAGGAGAGACCCTTCAAGTGTGACTACTGTGACTACAGGTGAGAACTAGGCCTTTCCCTCTTCCCAGAGCTGCCCCCCAGGGATGTCTCTGTGTGTGCTACAGTGTTCAGCCTCACCTTATCCATTCCTTTCAGCTGCAAGAACCTCATTGACCTGAGGAAGCACCTGGACACGCACAGCAAGGAGCCTGCGTATCGCTGCGAGTTCGAGGCCTGCAGCTTCTCTGCACGTTCCCTCTGCTCCATCAAGCTGCACTACCGCAGAGTCCACGAGGTGGGGAGGCAGCAGAGCTTGAATTCCTCATGATCCCTCCTGTCAGGCTGCTCAGAGGACCTGACTCCTCCTTCCATGCAGGTGTGTGGGCCCTCTGAGCAGACTGGTGGGATGTTCACCTCCTCTCTCTGCCCCTCAGGGTGACTCAGAGCCCAGGTACAAGTGCCACGTGTGTGACAAGTGCTTCACCCGTGGGAACAACCTCACTGTGCACCTCAGGAAGAAACACCAGTTCAAATGGCCCTCGGGACACCCTCGCTTCAGGTACTGCCTGTCCTTAGCTCCTCACTGCCTCCTGTCTAGGGCCAGAGACAGCTGGAGCTGCATCCTGTGTTGTGCTGGAGCAGAGACCTGGCAGTGCTTGGGCTCTGATGTGCTCAAGACACTTTTCCCAGTGTCTGGGAAGTGCCTCCCATGGGTTCAGTGGAAGCTGGCACAGTGACTTAAATGCTCCTAGTGAAATGTTGGAAGGAGATGGGCTGGGGAGGTGACAGAGACCTGGCACAAAGCTCAGGAGCTGCCACGTGGATTGGGGCTGGAGGGGTTTTATCTTACTTGCAGCAAGCAATGAAAGCTGGGATGGATGTTCCCTGTCTCCTGGAACAGGGAGTGGCTCCATCCATGCCCTGCCTGTCTCTACAGGTACAGGGAGCACGAGGATGGCTACATGCGGCTGCAGCTGGTGCGTTACGAGAGTGTGGAGCTGACAGAGCAGCTGCTCAAGGACAGGGACAAGCAGGGGGAGACCTTGGATGGCTCAGCTGAGTGTGTGATGCTGCCTGAGGGTGAGGCCAACCTGCAGGGCATCATTTTGGAGCCCCCAGCAGAGGCTCCCCTGGCAGAGAACAGTACCTCAGAGCTGCAAGTGGCCCCACAGCACCCAACGCCTTGCTCTGCTGCCAACCCCGAGCCAGCACAGCCTAGGGCATTCCCAGGAGCTGCACTGCCCTTGGAGCAGGAACCTGGCACCCCATCCAGCCCCATCATCCGTGTGGTGAACAGGACCAACGAGCACGGGCAGAGTGAGACTGTGTATTATGTGATGGCCAGCACAGCCCCCGAGGAGCAGGGCACAGCGCCTGGGGCACTGCCTGCAGAGCTGGAGGAGAATGTCATGGACAGGCTGCAGAAGACAGCAGAGGAACTGGGTATCCAGATCGTGTAAGGAGCTCCCAGGCCTCTCTGCATGAGGAAAACTTGGGCCTCCGTGGGATGTGCCGGTGGGGAATGTGTGGGGGAGAGGGCTGAGCTTGTCTTCAGCTCCCTGCAGTTGGCTCCTCCCTCTGCTGCCCCAGCCTCACTGGCTGCTGCTTCTGGTCACATGAGGAGAGGGGAAGGACAGAAGGACAGGGCTCAGTTGTAGGTCAAGTGATCTGAGCTGTAAAGAACTGACTCCTCCTTTTTGGGATTAGGGACTAGGAAACCTCTCCCAGCCTTCTGGGAGGTTTGACCTAGGCCTGACACGAGTCACTCGTGGGTGATGTGGTCCTGCTGAGCCTGTTCCTCAGCCAGGACCTCCCCAGGCAGAATCATGTGTGGATTGTAGCTGAAGCCTCTTCCCTGGGGAGATGTGTGGTGCTGGGCAGGCCTGTCCTTCCCCATCCATACTTCTCCAGGGAATGGCATGCCTTTATCAGCACTTCCCTGCTTTCCTAGGTGCTTCAGCTGGTGCTGCTGGTGGTGTTTGCACCACTCCACCCATTAATCAGTGCTGAGTTCTGGAAGGGAAGGGCTAGAGGTGTCCTCCCTTGCAGGCCACTGCAGCACTGGGACATTGGGAGCTTCCTACTGCTTTTATTATTCCCTGGGTGTCCTCCCCACATTGGGGTTTGGGCTCCTGGTTGGGCTAAGTGTACTTTGGCAAGAGAAATAAAAATCAGGTTGACAGGCCAAGCAGTGTCTGGTGTGTGTTTCAGCCCCATCACTGCCAGCTGTGGTGGGAGAGGATGAGACTGGGATGCCTGGAGCCTGCAGTGCAGGGGGTGGGCAGGAGAGCTGCCAGGATCTCCTGGCACTGTGCAGCTGGCACTGGAGTGTGCTGCTCCACGTGCCCAGAGGTGGCACTGGAAGGACAGCTTTGAGCTCTGGTTCCTGATTTCCTGCTGTGGGTTTGATTTTTTGCTGCCTCCTTCAGGGTTCACTTTGGCATTTTCTTTGAAGGCAGGGAGTAACCTGTGCTTGTGAGCAGAGGCAGCTTGTCCTTTGTTGTGTGCCTGGATGAATTTGGGGTCCCTGGAGCGACACTCACTATGTGTCTGTGCAGCTGATGTGTCAGCTGGGAGGCAGGGAGGCACCTTGCTGCTGTCCTTGGCTTAACACTGCCTTTTTTTTCCCCCCTTCCTTTCTCAAGCAGTTGAGCAGAAGCTGTTGGAATTCCAGGTTAATGGAGCAAATCACTTCATCTTAAACCCTTGGCCATCTGCTCACTTTCTAATTGCAACCACTGGGTGTGACTGGTGGCTGTGGCCTGGGATGTGAGAGCAGCCCCCCAGGCCTGTGCAGGGTGAGGTGGGCAGAGCTGCCTGCTGCAGGCTGTGTGAAGGGCAATGTGCACTCTGCACCCCAGTGCTGTGCTGTCCAGGGTGTGCAGGCTGACTGGCTCCTGTGGGGCAGTGGAACACAGGGAATGGTCATGTCCTGGGCACCTGGTGCTCAGGGGGAGGCAGGGAGGGAGGAGAGAGGCTGTCCCTGCAGCCCTGACAGCACACACTGCTGGAGGATGCTGCTAGCTCAGGGCAGAGCATCCCTGAGCTGCTGCATGGGCCATGGCCAGGCAAAGGCCTAGCCTTCCTGCCCTTGCTCCTTGGTCCTTGGAGAGCTGTGCCAAGGATACCTTCGAGAGCAAGGCCTCCTGCCAGCTCTGCACTCACAGCACTTCCAGCTTGTCCCTGTCTCCAGCATGCAGGCTTGGGGGCTCTGCTGCCAAAGCCACACTGTGCCTGCATTGTGCTGGAGTTTGGTGCTCCTGCACACCCTGAGTGGGAGGAGTAGGGAGTGGGGGTGGTTGGGAGTTGTCCCTTTAAACACTGGGCCCAGGGAGGGTAATCTGCCAGAGATAATCTGCTGGGGAGAGGATTGGCATTAAAGGGAATGTCTCCTCCCTTCCCCCATGTCCTACAGCATCCCCTGGCCTGTGTGTGTATGGAAACCAAGTTCACTTTCTCCTGGGCCAGCACTGAGGGGTCTGAGGGACATGGGGAGGAGGGCAGAGTGTGCCATGGGACTGGGCCTCCTCTTCCTCACCGTGCTGGCCACGCTGGTCTCCTGCCAGGACCCAGAAGGTAATAGGGGGTTTAGGGCAGAAAACAGAAGGTCTGGGGGATGAGGGACTCATAAGGTGCCCCAGAGCTGCTGGCACCTGTCTGGACCAGTCTGTCCCAGTAGGGAGCAAGGTCTTTGTCATGTCCTTGTGCCATCCTTGGAAGCAGGAGATGGGCTCTGTGAGTGGATACACTCCTCACCACAGCAAGGGTTGGGTGGGCTCAGATGAGTTTTTGTGGGTTTGAACACCTCCCTGCAGGACCCTGACCCACCTCCTGTGGGACTAAGGGCTGGAGAGCTGATGGGAATAGTGTTCCTCACCTCCTCCAGTTCTGCTCTGCCTTGTTCTGTGGCACCAGGAGACCTGGATACTTACTGGTCTGGCACAGCACCCATCTGCATGGGGGGCTGCAAGGGGAAGCACAAGGAGCTGAAGAGGAGCCAGTGTGGGAATGGCAGCTGCTGCTGGCTGGGCTACAAGTCCTTCTGCAGAGGTAAAACCCACAGTGGGGAGACTGGGGGAGGCCCTGGGGATGCTGCAGGGCTTGGCACAGCCAGCCTGAGGGCAGATGTTGGTGTGTGGAGCCTCTCCAGCAGCCTGAGCCACCTGGGGACACAGCCTGGGGCACCCCCAGACCTGCTCCTTGCTCAGGACCCGCAGCCTGGTCTGGGTGCATCCCTCGGGCTGCTGTGGTGCCCAGCAGGATGCACAGGGTGTCAGCCCATGGGAATCTCCTGTCCCCAGTGAACTGTGGGCGGCCCGAGGTGGATTTCAGCTCGGTGGTGTATGGCAATGACTGGTGGGTGGGCTCAGTGGTGAGGTACCACTGCCGCCCAGGCTTCCTGCTGCTGGGG